GTCGATGCACAACCAACAAAATATTTGGAACTACCTTTGGGTGCTAAGAACAAAGAGCTGGAAGTGTGCAATGTGTTGTTGGAGAGATGTGCGAAGAAACAAGCTTGGTGAAGAAGCTGGTATTTGTCCCTAGGTGGTAGGGTGACCCTCATCAAGTCATTATTAGATGAATCACCTACTTATATGATGAGTTTATTTCTAGTCCCCAAGAACATTTAGAAGAAAATAAATAGGCTCAGGAGATCTTTTCTTTGGCAATGCAACAAGGAAAGAAAGGCTACAACTTGGTGAAATGGGATACTCTCACACATAGCAAAATTCAAGGAGGCTAGGATTGACGGACCTAAGTCTCCAAAACAGTAGTTTACTCCAAAAGTGGCTATGGAGATTCTGTATAGAATATAGAGCCTTATAGAAGAGATTTGTATCAGGAAAGTATGGTTTATTTAACCGGTGGACAACTGAAGAGGTTATGGGCACATTTGGATGCGGTGTTTGGAAGACCATTAGAAGACTATGGCCACATTTCGAAAACAACATATGTATTAGTGTTGGGGATGGAAGGAAGACAGAGTTCTGGAATCAAATATAGATAGAGGAAGACATTTTGAGAAAGCTATTCCCTCTTTAATATACATTGAGTATGCAGAACAATGACACTATGGAACAAGTCTGGAGTCAACAGGGTTGGAATCTACTTTTTAGAAGAGCATTGAATGATTGTGAAATTGAGGAGGTTGCCAAACTATTAGAGGTTCTCAATGATTTCCTAGGTACTTCTTATAGGTTTGATAAGCCAATATGGAAAATATACAACAAAAGGGTCTATATAGTGAAATCATGCTATTGAGAGATGAACTATAATTTCCCACTGATTGAGAGACGGCCCTAGAAAATGTTATTGACGGTGAAATGTCCATTGAATTATCATGTTTTGTTTGGCTACTAATCAGGAAAACATGTCTTACTTATAAGGCCCTATAGAAAGGAGGCATGCCAATTTGTTCAAGGTGCTTTATGTGTGAACAAGAAGCTGAATTTAAAAACCATCAACTCATACATTGCCAAATAGCTGCCAATTTGTGAATATCTTTTATGTATTTGAGGGGTTAAAAGGTGATGCCAAAGACTATTTTGGACCTTCTGAAGAGTTGAAGCTCTTCCCAACATGTAGCTATTGGTCCATATGGAAGGAAAGAAACACTAGGTCTTTAAAGGACAAAAAATTACTTTTCAAAGGATTAACAAATTGTATTAGTCTTCTATTTCTTTGGTGTAAACAAGATTTGGTGGGGGAGGTGGTAGAAGTAGTTGATTTCTTAGGAAACTTGTAATTTAGTTACCCTCATAGGGGTGTGCCCATCACACTATGATATGTAAATTTCCAATTCATCATATCCTGGCTGATAAATTTTTTAGTGAATACAAAATTACCCTTATTTCAAAAAAATGCCGAAGTTGGCTTTCAATTTGATTTATGTGAGTAAAATTTTTTATAGATCTTAATTGTTCTATTTCATTCTTTCCCTATCATGCATATTTCGTGATCTTGCCACACAAAAGGTTATTGGTAAAGAATATATATATATATATATTTGATGATCCATATATCCTTAATAAATATGAGTCTTGATTTGTTGTCTACACAAGTGGCATGGCTTTATTTGAAGCACATTGTCGATTGGGAAAGCATTCTTTACTTTTGTTAAAGAAGCTCTGTCCCCGGTATCAAAATGTTCTTCTTTGAAATGTAAATCATGCCAATTTGCAAAACATCATCGCAACACGTTACGTCCATAGGTTAATAAACAAATTGAGTAAGCTTTTGAGCTAATTCATTCTGATGTTTAGGGACCATGTCCCTTCGGTTCCAAAACTGGACATAAGTATTTTGTCACTTTTGTGGATAATTTCTATTGAATGACTTGAATTTATTTCATGAAAAGTCGCTCTGAAATGTTTACTCACTTTTGTGACTTTTTGTTGACATCAAAACTCAATTCAATGCTATGATGTGTATTTTAAGGAATGATAATGCTAAAGAATACATGTCAGACTTGTTTCAATCCTACTAAGACTACACAATATTCTCCATCAGTCGTGATGTGTTGATACACCTTTTCAAAATGGAATTGTTGAAAGTTAGAATATGCATCTATTTGAGACAGCTCGAACAGTTATCTTTCAATTCCTAAAATAATTGGGTTGATACACTCTCTATGACTTGTTTTCTAATTAGTTGCATTGTTTTCTAATTAGTTGCATGTCATCCACGGTGCTTGTTTCTAATATGCCTTGCATCGTTCTTTTTCTAAACAAGTCATTCTGATGTAACCAAAGGTATTTGGAAGTAAGTGTTATGTCCGAGTGGTACTGCCATCTATTACTAAGTTGGACCCTAAGGCATTGAAATGTGTTTTCTTGGGTTATTCTCGTCTTTATAATGGGTATCAATAATATTCTACTAAACTTGGCAACTATTTGGAGTAAAATGATGTGATATTTTCAAAATCTACACCATTCTTCTATACCCCTCCCAGTTTTATAAGTCAGCGAGTGGAAGATGAGTGGTTAATTTATCAGGTTACTCATGTTATGCATTCAGATGATGCTATTATTCCATCTCCCAGTTACTCTATTGTGTACCACACAACTGTTGCACCTTCAACACATGTTCCAACAAAACTTCCAACTGTTCAAGTTTATTCAAGGAGATGAGAGGTCGATAATATATGTGTTGCACCAGTTCCTTTGTCATCAAATCCTTCTATATTTGATCCATTAGAAAATTTTGACCTCCCTATTGCGCTTCGTAAAGGTAGACAGGTTTGCAAATCCACATATTTCATTGCTAACTTTGTTTCCTATGATCGCTTATCTTCCACATCTAGATCCTTGATTTATTCTCTAGCCTCTGTTTCAATACACAAAACGGTGAAGGAGTCTTTGAATCATCCTAGATGGTCAAATGTGATGCTTGAGGAAACACATGCATATTAGAGGAAAATCACACATGAAATTTGGTGGAATCAACGGGGATAAACCAGTAGGATGTAAGTCTGTGTTCAAAGTTAAAGCTAATCTAGATGGTTCCATGGCAAGACTTAAGGCCAGGCTTGTGGTTAAAGGATATGCTCAGACATATGGGGTACTATTCTGGCACCTTTTCTCTTGTTTCCAAACTCATTTATGTCTATTTGTTCATTTCTCTTACTATTTCTGAGAATTGGCCTTTACATTAGTTAGATATGAAGAATGCAACCATTTATGGTGATCTTTAAGAGGAAGTGTATATCGAGCAACCACTTGATTTTATTGCTTAAGGGAAATAGATAAAGTCTGTCATTTGAAGAAGTCCTTGTATGGCTTCAACCAGAGTCCCTGAGATTGGTTTGACAAGTCTAGTGAGGTAGTTCAGGCATGTGGGCTGAAAATGAGCATATGTGATCACTTTGTTTTCTATCGACTATCTGCAACTAGAACAGTCCTTCTTATTGTGAGGGGATCTCTTCCCTTTAAGTCTTTCTTGCCTACTAGGCTTCATACGAAGAACTTTGGCGAGTTAAAATATATTTTGGAAGTAGAAGTAAATAGAAGCAAGACGGAAATTTTTCTATCTCTGAGAAAGTACATTCTTGACCTATTCGTAGAAACTGGAAAAATTGGCAGCCAAACCCTGTAGTGCTCTACTAGTTCACAATGTGCATCTTATGAAAGTTGATAGAACTCCTTTTGATAATCTAAAGAGATTTAGAAATTACGAATGTTAGGATCTAGCGAAATCAATCTTCCATATGACTTTATCAGTTTCTCACTCACTTAAGCATATTATCTTCAAATAATAAACAACCATTCTATACCCTGCAGGTTCACAAATGAACCACCAGCACCAAGGTGAGTTTTAATACAACAAGAGTGATAGTTTAGGTAGGTAAAGTGAACAATGATAGTTAAGGTATGAAACTCGCAAAAAGTGATAGTTTGGATGTGTTTTTGACGATTAACTCTTAGTAAAATTATTTACCTTATCCAAAAAGACAAAAACTCCAAAATAAGATGTTGTTACGCCCTTTGTCTCTTGTGAAAACTGAAGGGCAATAATTCACATTAAATTGACACAAGCAGCTTGTAAGCAAGCATGTGGAACCTAATAAGCCAAGTAAAGATAATATGGACTCGAAACTTAATTGGTTGGCAAAAGTCTATATGCATATTTTCTAAATAAAACCTTCTACTAATCACTAAAACTAGACCTAATTTATATAAAGCTTTCGTTTGTCAATGTCCAATAATTTAAGCCGACAGCCTAATAAGGAAAATTGCAGAGATTATCTTCTCTATATGATTTGTTGAAGCATCAGAACAATTTTCAGAAATGAAAAACTCCACTTATGCCAGTTCCATTGATATTCACATACTATAATTAGCTGAACCAACCTTAGCAGACATATTAATAGTTATCCGGACCAACCTTAACAGGTGTTACTAATGCCATTTGGCTCCAATATAAAAACACTCATGAACTTGCAAACACTATATTAAATATCCTTAATACAATAGTTTAAAAGTCGACCTGCAGAACAACTATAAGTTATTCAAAGGAAAGAACTGGTCACCTAATTTAAATGTGCTTCAGTCAATCTAACAGCTTGATAGAAGTTGTCATCTTGGATAAGACCCTTCTTTTGCTACCTGGGACTCCTCTTTTCCCACCAAAAAGGTAAAATGGATATTCTTGATTGTTCTTCATTAATAAAGAAATATGCAGAGGGAAATTTTTTTTACTCTCTCAAAAATTATGTTCTTTCTCTTTTTCTCTCTCGGCGCACGTTAGTGTGCACTAACTTGCACCTTGCCGGAAAATAGGGATGGGATGACCACGAAGAGCAACGCAAAGAATTCACGAGGAGGAGATAAGCCATGGCATTGTTAGTAGCACTACAGTGGCACAGACAACTAGGAGGGTAACAACTGACAAAGACGGACCACCACAAATTTTGATGACTGCTGCAAGCAAGGAGAAGAGGAAAACAATAGTAGATGAACAATGTCCAGAGCTGTCAAAACAAAGAGGAACTGGATCTGGGTTACAAAATATCTTGCTGGGAAGCAATGGAACAGTAACTCAGGGTAAACCAAACAATACGCAGAGGAAGCTAGAACTGAATGGAGAAGATGTGAAGAATCTGTGAGCGAGTCTATTTGCTACCAATTGATTGGCGACTAAAGGTATGAATCTAAAATACATACCACCGGTGATTGCGGATGGAGAGAAAGTAGTGCAAATATTACATGAATATGTAGCACAAGACGATGAAAAATGGGCTTCATCAATAGTAGTATATTTGGTGGGAACAACTCCATCTATTGGAGCCATGGAGCGGTTTATAATGGGACAAGGAACCTTCACCAACAAACCTATAAAGTTATATCATATAGATGGTTACTTTGTTGTGAGATTTGCAAATGCGGAAGAGAGGGATATGGTGTTGTGCTCAGGGCCCCATCACTTATTGAGAAGGCCTGTCATAATGAAACCATGGGTTCCAGAGTTCAATTTCAAGGAGGAGATTCTTACTACCATTCCACTATGGGTTAAGATTCCAAATCTGCCGCTTAACTGTTGGAATTCAGTTGTCTTGAGTAATATAGGTAGTAGTTTGGGGAATCCCTTGTATGCAGATGAATGTACAACTCAAACTAGTAGAATCTCTTTTGCCAGAATTTTAGTGGAAGTAGATGTAACTAGACCCCTCGCAAAGGTGATTAAAATAAAGTACCCAAAAGGAAGAATAGTGGAGCAGAAAGTTTGGTATGAATGGAAGCCAATGTTTTGCCAGAAATGTCTACAAGTGGGGCACTCATGTGTGGACAAACCAACTGCACCTATACAGGTTCAGAAGCAAGGGCAGGGACAACGACAGAGGAAAGAATGGATACCCACCACAAACAAGGAACAAGGCATTGGAAAAATCTAGGTTGAGGATAAGCAGCAGGAGAAATCGATCCATGAGAAGGATGAAACATCACAGGGACAAGGAGAATGGTAGACTATTAGACATAGAACTTCTATCAGAAGAGAATCTAGGAATAGTGATACGCTCAAATTACACCTCACTAAAGAAGTATAAGCGATCGTTATCAAGTAAAGAACCCAACTTGTCGGTTGGGGTCGATCCCACGAGGAAAATGGTTTAGACTTTACTTTAACCAACAATTATATTCAATTAGCCAAAGTACTTCCAGAAACAAGAAATAAAAGGGGGGAATTTGTGAAACAAATTGTAAGAGTTCAGTAAGTAATCAATAAACAAAAGTTAATTTCGGTTTTTATCAAGATGAGAGAATTAACTAGG